AACACAGTGGAACATTGAAACAGCACAGCCTTCTAGCGTTTTGGAAGTGTTATTGCAGCACAGACTGAATGCAATTATGAATGTTCACAACAACATCAACCATGTGCCATGGGCTATGGTGATCACTCGATACTGAAGTATAAATCAGGTTTAAACGAATAGTCCACCCCAAAATTCTACATTTAAAGAGCCCCTATTATGCATTAAAAAAGGTCACATTTTTGTTTTGGGGGTCTCCAACAACAGGCTGATATGCATGCAAGGTCAATAAATACTTTCATTGTCTTATAATATGCATTTATTTTTACCTAATTATCCCAGAGACTCCCATATGATTCGTTCAGGGATTCATTTGTTCCCAAACCCCTCCTTATTGATAGGTAAATGATTGGTTTGATAACCAAGTCTATTAGGATTGGTCGACTGCTTTCAGTGTTCAGTCTTGAGTTCAATTCAACAATTTAATTTACACATAAAAATCCTAAATAGTTTCCTTAATGACAACAATGATGTAAAATGTGAATCTAATCAGCAACAGTTATCTAATGGTCAACCAGTCAACAGAGTCTGAACTGATCTGCGTTTTCCTTGTTGTAGGCGATTGACTCATTATTCCAAGTTACAAGTTTTTGACAATCCTTTTTTTCCTTTCTGAATACAAATTAGGAGCAGTGTACTTGACAAACAAGCAGCTAAATTTAAAAGAATGTCCAAGGATGTCAATATTTCTCACTCATATTTGTACATTTAAAAAGGTTCAACTAAATCTGAGTTTAGAAGAAAAGCAAGCCTGATCAATAGCCTAGGACAATGTGTGTTTGTGTTTACCTGTCAACTCACTGGCTTCAAAGTTGAGCAGACCAGACCAGACCAGTGCAGTAGTACAAATGTAAGCCCTACCACATTAAAAAATCCAATAATAGGCTAGTTAACTGTACTTTTTATGGCTCAAATGTATGCGATAAATATGCACTCAAGCATTGAACGGGTCGGTTATTTTGCTACAAATTTTTCTGCAATTTCTCGGAGCATTCCTATTGTGCGCCCTTTACTCTTCCTTTCTCCTGGGCTGCTTTAGCTCATTTCCCGCGCATTTAGCTTGAAAAAAATCTATTTAAATAATAATAAAAATTCATGTTCAAATTTCATTATAAATTTAGCCAATGATTGAATCGAATTCTGAAATTATCAGTTTATTTTTGTAGGCTGTAATAAATTTAAATAATATATATATTTTTTGTATTTACCATGACCGATGGTCAGTCCAGGCGTGAGTGAAACAGTTTATATCGATCAAAAATATTTAAAAATATTAATTTTAGTGGGGGCCCTGCTGTGCCCATGTGCAGCTGTAATTTACTGTACAGTCCGACAGACTGGCTGCATTTACAGTTATTTCCGAACAGGCTCACTCTGCAAGGCTGCGACAAGTTAATTCTGAACGCGCGGTGGCGCTGTGTTCTTATAATTGAGACATTTTGACTACCTTCAGCGTTGTTGAGCAAAAACAACAGCTGTATATCAAAATTGATAGTCTGTCTTTATGCCCATCCTCCTCTTGTTGTAAACCTGTTTGTTGTGTTGTGTAAAGGAAAATATACTGAATATCATTTTGTTAATTTAAGAATTTTTTTCCCTGCTATGGATGTCAATTTTTAGGGGTAAAATCTCGCTTTGACAGGGATTAGCAGAACATAATATTCAGTTTATTCCATCACAACATATTAAACTAAAGTAGGCTACATAGGAAAATATATTAAGTATAACAGTTTTATAGTATAAAGTCTGAATTTAATGTTAAATGTAAAGCTGAGTTATTATAGCCTAGTCCTATTCTTAAATGAATATTCTTTTCATACTATATTTGGTGATTGCTTGAGCTTTCTTCTTAGTGAAAATTACCTTTTGTCATGCTTTATTAATCGAGTTTAACCATAAGTTTTTAGATCAATTCGTAAAAAAAACTACACTTCCCATGAACACGTGCGGCACTTTACGACAGAACTTACAGGCACTCGAGCTGACGTCACGTGCTGATACATGTGGATAAGCGGTCTGTGACACAACATTTCAATATTTTAAACTGTGTCGTATTACCTGTAGTTAACCCTGCGTTTAAGAAATAAATTTGACGCCTTACTCCTGCATTTCATTCACATGGAACGACATGAACCAGCAGTTATTTAGAAAACCTGCCGCAGCCGCCTGAATGTGCTAGCCGGATCGCTAACCCACTCTAGCAAAGAAAGTAAGTTTGTGAAATATTTCACGTCAAAACTAGTATATCACATACACATAGTCAGTGCTTAAGGGTAATCATCATGCCCCTTTAAAATAAGTACTTTATTTGTCATACAACCTGAAATCAAATATCTTTTCCAACCTTTGAAATGTTTTTGTAGTCTTCACCTACCCTGAGCCTATCTAACTTACAACTATCCCCAAGCTCTTTTCATAGCAGGGTAAAATGTGGGTTTGATTTAAACAGCAAACAGCTAATTGTGTTCATTTTATTTATATTCAATCATTAAAATTGTATTAATTTATAAAAAAAATCTATTTTGTTCTGAGTTACACTGCTACTAATAGACTAAAGAAGAATATTATTACCTAAAATCCATACATTTTTATGTACCATGGTGCAACGGACCCCAAATCTCACGGTTCGGGTCACATTATGGCTTTCTAGTCACAGATCGGACCATTTTTCAGATCGGCCAAAAAGGGGAGGAGGCAAATGTAATTTGTTTTCTATTTATTACAAAAAAAAAAAAAAAAAACAGTACTGCAAGACACTTTTGATTTTAACAAACAGAATTAAACCTGTAATCTTATTAAAAATAAAATTAAACAATCAGCTGAATAAAAATAAATTGTAAAATATTCAGTACTGTGAAGAATTGATTGTTACTGCCACTGTTCCTGATAATGCTAGACTTGTGTTATAATTTGTACAACCCATATTTATTTTTACTCATAATTTTAATAAATGATTCAGTTATTGACTAATAAAACTTGTTTCATTGCTACATGTCATTTTTGAAGAATTATTCAGGGTCATATTTTTGATGGCTGGTTGTCGCCACTCATTGGTTTAATAATGTAAATGCTGCCTACAACTTCCATTTTTGAGCGTCAAGCTAAATGCATATGACGGTCATTTTAATCGTTACCATGGGAACGAGTGGTTTTCTAAACTATTAACTGTTTTCTCAGTACTTCTGTGTTACTTGACTGTTTATTATTTCATAACTAACTCAAATGACTGAAGACTCAATCTCTTATGATTAATAAACATATGCAAATTAATATCATTTATAATTTGTTGCGTGGGTGTTAAGAACCAGATCTTTTCATGATTAATCTTGCAGCTCAGACTGAATGCATTGATGCAGACTAAACTAGTGACAGAAAACACCTTTAATGTAAGCCACCACATCCTGAATAACCTACCATAACTCCTTCCGTCATCATTATAATTTACAGGAAATCCTAAATGCTTTCATACTTGTGATTTGAATAACGCCGCTAGAGGCGATCTCTCTGTTCTCTGTGGTTGATACAAAATTTAGGATTAATTTACCAGTAAAAAAGAAAATGCATTAATCTGCAGGTCACGTGTGTTTCGATCTGTGGGTTGTAATCCGTATAATCACGGATCAACTGTGATCTTTTACACCCTTAGTATGTGGTTGCATATTCATGAACCACAATACATTAACAAATCTTATATACATTAATTAATTCCTTTCCCTTGTCCATATTACTTTCCGCAGGTAAAATCTAAATGACATGGAGAACTACAGAAAAGCAAACACAATAGAGCAGCCCTGCCCATGTCCGTTCCCCGACCTGCCCAGCGACACTCCAGAAGTTCGAGTGAAGGATGGTAGCAAAATCCGCAACCTCATGAGGTTTGCTTTAAGCCGTATGGAGGAGAAAACAGCAGCCTCGGCAGATCATGAAGGTTCAGAGGTGAGCGTTGGGACAGGGGACAATCTGTGTCGCCAAATAGTATTCACAGGCGTGGGTCAGAGCGTTGCAAAAGCAATCACGTGTGTAGAGATCATGAAACGGCGCATTCATGGGCTACATCAGCTCACTAAGCTGGCCTACCGCACACTTCAGGATGTCTGGGAGCCGCTGGAGCCTGGGGCCGGGCTGGACAGTCTCACCGTCAGCAGAAATGTACCTAGTATTTGGGTTCTTCTCTCAAGAGACTCGCTTGATAAGAACCAGCCGGGTTATCAAGCTCCAGGCTCTTTTGACGCCTTGTGGATTCAGGCTCTCAAAGAGGAAGCAGCAACTCCGAGACATGGACAGAGAAGGAAGAGGGGGGGAACTGGGACTGGACGGGCAGAAGTGGGTGGTAGGGGAAAGGGGCCGCGTAAACACCCCGGGCGACCTGGAGATACACGAAAACCTCCAGGTCATGCAGGTGGTGGACAGGAGGGAATGAACGTATGAATTATTATTGGACTTAACCTTTCATAGTTATAAATTTGTTTGTACTTGCTCAGTTTTATCTTATTTTAAAATATTTTTTGTGCCATATCATATAAAATGAAAAAAAAAGGGGTAATTTATGTAATGCATTTCTGAAAACAACCATCATAAATTGTTCACCCTCATGCCAACACAATATGATTTTGTCTTTTTTTTAATAGAACACAACATTTTTTAAGAATGAAGTTTTTTTTAATTATGCTTGCAAATGAAAAAAGTTATATGTTGTAATTGTTAGCAAGCAAGAACTTTTGTCACAGTTTTGACTTGAGGGTTTGTACATTTTTTTGTTAGCTGTTTTTTTTAATTACTTTGCTTCAAACTAAATTTCATGAAATAAATTTTCAATCAGCTGTTCTCTGTTTTATACATTAACACCGGCTTCTGTTAAAAAGGTTAATAAGAATAATCTATTCAGTATATACTGTAGTGTAATTGGATAATATCCTATATAAAGTCCTGTACAGTTGCAGTCAAACATTTTCAACCCACTTGATGTGCAAGACATTTTGCTGCCATGAACAAAATTGTATTAAAACAGTTCCTTAAAAAGCATCAATAAAGCGTTGTGCATAATTCAACTTTTGTGTGATTCTGAGGACATAAAGTTGATGTAAAAAGAAGCCACGAGAGTGTCTCTACACATTCCAAAAATATCTAAACCCTCAAAATGTAATGTTCTAGAATAACCTCAATTAAATGTTGCCTCTAAGAGCTTACAAGCTTCTGTCACATTCCTTTAGGCACAGGCTTGTACAGTTGAAGTCAGATTACCCTGTTTATTTTTTTCTGTTTAATGAAGAGAAATTTTCAACACATTTCTAAATATAATAGTTTTAATAACTCATTTCTAATAATAGATTTATTTTATCTTTGCCATGATGACAGTAAATATTATTTTACTAGATTTTTTCAAGACACTTCTAAACAGCTTAAAGTGACATTTAAAGGAATACTATGCAGGTTAGGGTAAATAGGCAAGTTGTTGTATAATGATGGTTTGTTCTGTAGATTATCGAAAAATGTAGCTCAAAGGGGCTAATACTTTTGACTTAAATGGTTTTAAAAAATGTTTTTTTTTTTTTTTTTTTTATTAAAAACTGCTTTCATTCTAGCCGAAATAAAACAAATAGGTACTGTGAAGTTTTTCTTGCTCTGTTAAACATAATTCGGGAAATGTTTGAAAAAAGAAAAAGAAATTCAAAGGGGGGCTAATAATTCTGACTTCAACTGTTTTGTAAGATTTGGATTGTATGATAATCTTGGATAAAAATATCATGGCGTTTTAATGCTCTTTTTAATGTTTGGATAAAAAAACAACAACTTTTTCTCCATTGCACACAATATGTTTTATTTTAACAAACATTTAAAATATTTTGGAACAGTAAACATGTCAGGCTAAACAATTAAAATGAATCATTGACTATTTTCATTCATTTTAAATACACAGATTCCTTCGCAACATAAAACGGCATCTTTATGTTTCTTTTCTTTGAATATAAAGTAAGCCATTGCACTGTTCAGATTTATAGCAGGCTTGGATTATGGTGTATAAGAGATTTGTTTTTCAAATGTTTCTTCCTTTTCTGCTCGAAATACTAAAAAACTAAATAAAATAGTCGTACAAAAAGTTACATATGCTATAGGAACGTTACAACAGGAAATGACTTTTACTTTTCCAAACTGCTGGAAACCTTGAAACCGGTTATTGTCCCATGTCTACATTCCTGACTGTCTTGCTGGAAAATCCTGTAATCATCAGTCTTCAGAGTTTGAGCTGTAAGCGCCACAATATTTGCTAATGTGATACAATGGGTGTGTATGAGGAAGCCGCTGTCACCATCAAGATGAATGAAATCGCTTTGAATGCCCGCACACACTTTATACGCTTTCACTTTTTGCACGTCTCTGCTGAACATATGCCTGCTTGTTCCAAACCTTATTTTTTTCCCTTTTGTTAAACACAAAGAAAGATTTCCTGAGCCATTAACATGTCTTTTCTTCCACTCATATCGTGTTTTGTGTTCAGTAAAAAAAAAAGAAAATTATTAAAGTTTAGAACCACTTGAGTGTGAGTATATGGTGAGAAAATTTTATTTTGGGAGAAATATCTTTTTAAATACAACAATATTAAATAATTAGACACAGAAGTGTTTTCAAAATTCTATAACTCTGTCTAAATATTATAAGTGTTATCACTTTATAATTCCACAAAGCTTTCACACGTGCAGATTATATAAATATTAAAAAACTCATGATTTTCAGAAAAGCTACCTTTTTATATTGTTTTAGTCCTTGGGGATTGTATAATTTAGATTATAGCTGTACATTTTCTTTTTTTAAAAGGATTTTAGATATAATTAGCTTAAATTGGAGTGTTTGAGAACAGGATGGTCCTGACGTTTTATATTTGGAAGAGCTTTTGCTGCTTTAGGACTCGGTTCAAACAAAGTTGCTGTGAATAAATTTCATGCATTTGATTTATTTCTATAAAACCCAGATATAGTCAACATTTTAAGGGAATTCAAGCTTGTTCAACGATTGTTCAACACCCAATCCTGTCTCTGGACAATTTTGAAAATCTCTCTCTCTCTCTGTCTCTCTCTCTCTCTCTCTCTCTCTCTCTCTCTGTCTGTCTGTCTGTCTCTCTGTCTGTCTGTCTGTCTATCTATATTATTTTTTTGGAAGATTTGGTTAAGATTAAGTATTTGGCACTTTTCCTTATCAGAAAAATCCAAATAGGCTTATTTTCTCATTTGCCACCAACTTCTCCAGGAAAGGAAATTTAGTAATTTGACTACCAAATATTTCTATGGAGAAAATACACAAATTTAGGATTGAAAGCTGGACCGAACATCAGTGTTTTTTTAATGGCACAGCTCAGAAAGCCTGAAGGCATGCTATCGCAGATGTTTTATATATACTGTACGGTTCTATTTAACGTTTGTTAATTTGATCAGCTGTTGGTCATAGCAGCATTAGTGAAGGACGTAAATCCAAACTTAAGTTGATGAGAAGCTTGGAAAATATTGTTATTTTGACTTGTGTTAAGCAATAAAATGAACAGCATTTCTTTCAGGGAATTTCACTTTTCACTGAAACTTATTTCATTCATTTATTTGAGTGACTAGGTGTGGATTTTAATCAAGGTGTTTGTGAGTTTTGACATTTGTAATATGAAACTTGTTGATTTTAAGACACAAATCTCTTCAGCGTCTTATGCAAATCCACATGGGGAAAGGAGAGAGGACTTTTGAATTTCAAATATTTTTTTACTGAATGAACAGAGAACGCTCTGCTTGTTCTGCTCAGATAGAGGAAGAGCACTGACCAAGATAATAAGGTAGGTTTTTAAATTATCTTTGATGCAATTATGTAAGCAAATTAATTCTTTGTTTGTTTATCTGAATATTTTGAATTGTATAAACATCTCTAAATGTATATAGTTATCACTATATAGAAAACTGTAACTACACTAATATCAATATCATATGTATATAAAACTGTTAATCTTGTTCATTATTATTGTTTTATATATTCTTTATAGCTGTACAGTTTTCTCCACAGTATATTTAATGTTTTTTTTTATTTAAAGTTATTAATATTATTATTTTGCTTTCTTAAATGTTAATCTGAGTGGCTTCTGTATAGAAATGCTTGTAATTATTCATGGTAAATGAATTCCTGTCTAAATATGAGTATGCATGCATTAAATTAGCCAAAAATTATAGGAAAAGCGGTATTTACATAGTAATCATTTATATTTCAAAAATAAAGTATCACAACTAACAAAACAGCAAAAAAGGTCCTAAACTTAATAAGATGATGATAAATGTTTTCTAATATATCTGGAGTAATGAATACATTTATATTTATTTATTTATAACTTATTTATTTTACAATATCGAATTATTTTACATCTCAGTAATATTTCACAGAATATATTTTTACCAACCTAAAACTGGGGGCAAATGAGAGACAAAAATATTGAAAACAGATGTTTTACATATTAAAACATTGCAAAATAGTCTTGTTTCAGCACTAGTTTGACTAACTCAAACAAGACCGTCCTCATTGTTTTTTTCTTTTTTTTGCTTATATGTTAATTTTGTACAGTAAACACACTATGTAGATCAGCCGATTGTATTTGATCATAATTAGTCTTTTTTTTTTTTTGCACAGAAGTACACTGGTCGCTGAAGGAGGAACTGCCGAGGCTGAAAACAATCATGTTGGCTGTTCTGTTGACCGCTTTAATGTTTAGTCAAGGTATGTCATATATTCAGTGAAATCTCATGTATGGTTGCCTTTTTAAAGGTATGTACTAGTGGTGCACCAATACCAGTTTTGACATTATTAACATTTCAAATTCAGAATTTTATTCTTAATCAAACAGATTTTTTTGCTCCTCAATTCTTGTGTTAATATCAAGTACCAAAGTTTTATTCCAGAAAAGTAGTTACAAAGTGACTGCACGTGCACCTCGCGAAACAGACGAGGCTTTTATACTTTCCGCATTCGCCATTGTGATATTCTTTACAACGACAGGGGGAGGTCAAAAGAAACTGACAGTAAAGTCAGACAGATAAACAGAAGTTGGACGTTTCCGGAACTACGTCATATCATTAATATCATTCAATATTTTAAACTTATTATTTTTATTGTTTTTATCATTTATTTTAATGATTATAAGCATTTTTGTAACCATTCAAGATTTTTTTTATATCAAACTTTGATGCATCACTTGCTTTTGTTCATATCTCGGACAGTTTTACCTTTTAAAGTTTATTTAAATATTAATGACAGCAGAACATGAACATCAGTTAACGAAAAACGTATACTTACAAAAAAAAAAAAAACAATAACAATGTTTTATTAAAGATTTAGTCCGCTTCACAATTCACACATTACTGTCTGACTAGTTTCTGTCCTCTACTTATGCTAAAAAGGTAATTATGGTACAACATTCTAAACCAGGGGTCACCAATCTCGGTCCTGGAGGGCCGGTGGAGATAAAATCTGCAGGACACCGGCCCTCCAGGAACAAGTTTGGTGACCCCTGTTCTAGACCATTATCACCAATAAAGCCTAGAAAAACAGGGCATCAGTACACTGTAAACCTTTAGGTTTAAATATTCCTTTCCAGTTATCAAATAAATAATTCTTTAATAACTTCATTATAGTTTTGTAACTATTAAATTGTTTTAAATTCAAAATTGCAACGTATACATCAGTGTTAAATTTATGACTGGTGGAAAAACATGTTTCTGTAATTGTATACCTGGGTCTCCACTTTTGTCACGACCACTTTTGGCTTTAACAGAACTATCCCTCAGGTTTTTCCAAACCTTTTAACAAAAACTTACTCCTTTCCCATGGCTGTTGCAATTTCTGCTGAAATTCAAGAATTATTGATCATCTGGTTATCTCTATGATCACGGATCATAAAGATGTCTGTACAGTCGTACTGTTTTAGACTAAATCTCTTCAGAGTGTTTCATGTTCAACTCAAATTAAATGTGGCGCCACGTGCACTGTTCGCTCAAGTCTCAAAAAATGCCGTGTGCACCATTATCCGCAAACTCTGCTATTACGTCACATTCGCCGTGCGCACTCAAGCGAACAAGCGAACGCGTCGAGTATAAACCAGGTCCCCTCTCTGATGCTCTTTGGCATAGAAAAAAAGCATCAAATCTACTCTTTCCCACAGACTACTCCGTCCTTCCTAGGCAGGTGCCAGTGGAGGCAACGCCCTGCCTAAAGTGTTCCCCACTGGCCTTGGAAAATCTTACCTGTCTTTGGGTCGACGCCTCATGCACACTCCATTTCATTTTGAGCACAATTATCACCGCTTTTGTTTCTGTTTAAACACACTTGTTTGTTATATTTGGATCTTGTGTTTGGAAGCTGTCATCAAGACTAATTACCACCAAAGGGATCCTCCAACATTGATCACTGAATTATCTGCAATTCGGCGCTTTACCATAACACACATGCAGCATAACAAAATGCAATGACACATAATTAGAAAGATACAAACACACACAGCAGTTTTAAAAGTTACATCCCAAATTAAACTAGAGTATGCAATAACCAAATCTCCATCATTCATTTTGTCTAGTTAAAATCTTATCCTTTTCAACAAGAGCTTGTTGAGCTTTAACAACATGTTTATCTTTCCTTTGCATCAACGACATTAGTATGTCATCCAGTTTTGGTAATTCAAAGATAAGTCATACAAAATGAAGTATTATTAGTTGGACAAAAGGTCTGGGGACTGCCTATAAAGACAGAGAATTGATCCACGATTGTGGTAATACATGTTTTCTTGTCAGAAACTATTACTCTAAGGAAATTATCTTGAACATGAGTTAAGTTATTTTCACATGATTCATAGTTTGCCTGAGGTGTTACACACAATGGCTGTTTTTCCAAAGCATCCTGCTCACAGGTTCAATTTTTATTCTTATTCCAAGCCATTCTCCTGATGGCAACTGAGTGACAAATCTAGGTAAGATCTTTCTTTCTTTCAACACATTACCCTGTAGTATTCCTAGATTTTACACAATTACAATTTTTTTCAAACATATTTTCTCTTTGGAAAACTGGTATGAAAACCGTCAAGAGCATAGCAAACATTTGTCTCATAAAACAACTCAATCTATTTTAGCTATTCCCAGCAGAACAGGCCCAAGAAGTATCGTTAGCATTACTAATCTTTCTCTTTCTTATTATTAATTAATCTTTCGCTTTCTCTTTGGCATTGCTCATCCAGATCTGGGGACCAGGCTGTAAAATTTATTAGGAGTGGAACATGGATCCATTGAATGTTGTTGACCATTGAATTGTTCCTTTATATGGTTTTGTTACTACGCCAGAGGGGGATGGTTGCATTTCTGGGCATTTTTGCATTGTCACTGTCATTGGCAGAACCACTGTGAGGATCCATTGCCACATCGCTTCTAGTTAATAATCCTGCCACATATATGCAGAAATAAAATAATATTGTCTGCCCCCGCACCCCCTATTTTTTCTTCTTTTCCAGCATAACACATGAAACCATATATACATTAAAACAAGTAAAAAAAATAAAAAAAAAACCAATAAAGATACACATGTTATGTATACGGTGTTATTTCCTATACAGGGTCTATAGGATTGTCTTCTGAATGTTTGTAGGGTTTCATTTGATCAGCGTGGAACCATTTCTTCATCCGTTCTCTATTTTTTGTCTCATGACAGAGCTTCTCTACTTTCATTCCAGTAACTTTGTATGATGCAAGCAAAGCTTGCAGCGCATTAGCAATTTTTCCTTTTTTCTTCTTAGGCGCTTTATGGTAATTGAGAAATGGCCCATTCATATGGATTCTCAGTATTTTTTTCTATTCCATCAAGCAGTCCCTGAGTGCCATGCTTCGCAATGTATTTAACTGTTTCAACTGTCAAGATAAATGAGATGAACAGAATTCCTTTTGGTCAGCAGATGGTTCTTGATGGCTTCCTGCCGCTCTCATGCAACAAGAAGTAAATTATCATTCCAAAGGCATGATTTAATTGCTTAAATAATTTACTTGAGGAACTCTCCTCTCTGTGATAATTAATCTATTTGATCATTTAGGAGCATTAAACACTTGTAAAACAAAGTAGAAGTTAGGTCAAGGCAGACTAATTTCTTACAATACTTACACTCTGCAGTATGCATGTGTTTATTTCCTCATTACAAACAAGCATTTCACAATAGACACTAACAGAAAATACAATAAAACAGACCTTTTGCCTCTTCAGGGGTGGCGCTGAATAATAAATGTATGTCCTCTATGGTCATGCATTGCTGCCGGCTTTACATATATCCAGATTTTTATTCTATGGCACTTTTAATCTCTGTGATCAGCATTGGTGTATCAACAATAATTCGGAAATTATGGTTTTATTTATTTATTTATTTGAATAAAAAGAACAATCATTATGTGTTGCAGGGCTTTCAATGGACAGCCGTGGGACGAGTTTCATCACAGCATTCCCCGAGAACGTTGCCTTTTATTTTCAAAAGACCTATAACCTATTGAAAATCACCACCCTTCACCCAAACACGGCTGTCAGTGTCATTGAAATGGCGAGTGGCAACATCACCAATTCAGCCGCTGGCAACAACGGAACCATTTTGACTTTGAATTTCTCAAAGGATGCTGAAGAATACCAGTTTGCATTCTCCAATAAGTCTATTCGAATCACCAGCGATAAAAACATCACAGTGCTTTCTATGAGTGGATGGGAGGGTCGATTTCAGTCCCGTGTTGTTCAGCCTGATCAAAACCTCAGAACGGTGTATCAGATCCCTGCTCTAAACTACACCAAGATTGCTGCATCCTTTAACCTTTCAGTGGCATCAAATGTCACGTTTCTCAATTTTAGGCTGATGATTATCAATGCAGTGGACGGAGACAACAGCGTCACCATTAAATATGGAGACGGAAGTGGACAAAGCCAAGATACCATAGCACTTGGCCCTTTTGAACTCTTCCAGATGCAGATTAATGGGTCGGAGGGAGAAATAACTGCGACGGATGAAGTGGCTGTGATTCTGACCCATCCCTGCTTGGATACTGTTAACTGCTCATGCAACATGGTGGTGAACCAGCTCAAACCCCAAGTATCTGATAGAAAGGTTGCCAGATTCCCTGTGCCATCTATTTTTGGTGTCAAGCAGCTGTTTGTGACAACAAATCAAGCCTTCAAAGTCTGTCAGGGTGTATTTAATGATGCAAATAGTATTCAAGTCCAAAAGTCTGTAGACATCTTGCCCCTCTTTCCAAATTTCCTGAGCTCGGCCTTGCTTATTTCTACCAACATTGGTGTTTCCCTCCGACTGATCAGTCCAGGACTCATTCTTGACCTCATGCCGACAAGCATGTTTTCTGGCTGCTTTCTGGTAGACTTCAACTCTTCACGCTCTGGAGCTTTGGTGATTGCTAATACATCCAGCACTACTGGGGTGAAAATGAACGATCAGCCTTTAAATGTCATATGGTACCCTTTGAATGGCACCGAGTACTCTTGGGCTTTGGTGGAGGCACAAGTCATTGGAACCATCTGGCATCCGAATACAAAGATTGGTGTATATATGACACAACGCTTGGATTCCAACATCATCTATGGCAGCCAAGCAGTAGCTTTAAATATGGACTTAGGTAAGTGTTATCTGTCTGTCTGTCTGTCTGTCTGTCTGTCTATCTATCTATCTATGTATCTATCTATCTATCTATCTATCTATCTATGATTGAGTAAATAGTAATTTTATTCAATCAGATTGGGCAATAAAGCAAATTTTCATGTCCATTGGCTGATTTGTATAAATAATTGCTGCTAACCAGGGCCAATAATGGTGGAATGCAGGAAAGAAATTGTTTCCAGTCACACTGTAGTAGTATTTAAAGTGATAATTCACCCAAAACTGAAAAATCTGCCATTTACTCAGCCTTCACTTGTTCCAAACCTGTTTAAGTTAGTTTTTTTTTCTGTTGAACACAAAGGAAGATATTTTAAAGAATGTTGGAAACCTGTAACCATTGACTCCCACAGTAAAACAGCCACTAATTATTGATATTAGCTGAAATTTTGTATCAGTTTATCTTTAATATACAAGCCTTTAAATTCATGCAAGACATTATGCTGTTACTTTGCTTTTGCTGCTGTTGTTGAATACAAAGTATTTGTTTGTGTGTTTCTAGATCAGAATGGCTGTCTGCTGACTCCGGAGATATTTGTGCTTGGTCAGGACAGCATGAACTGGTCCATGTCCCTTCAGTACTGCTCAGATAAGTATGACCAGCTCGCCACACTCAATGCTAAATCTGCACAGGATAAGATGGTCTTGAACATGTCACTGATACAACCCACGTTGGGCTGGATTGGTCTACGCCGCAGCCTGTTCACGACTGAGTGGTACTGGAGCAACAATGTGAATGTGAACTTCACTTTCTGGGAGCTCGGACAGCCTGATAAACCAGAGAAAGGCTTGTGCGCTTCGGTTGCGCTGGACCCTAGCAAGAAGTTCACATGGCAGAGTGCACGCTGCTGCTCTGAAAATAAACCCGTGTGCTATAGTGGCCAAAAATATTTCATTTACAGTCGTACTACAAAACAAATGTTGTCTTAAGTGGAAAATAACTAAAGCGAAATACAAAAATATTCAAGTTACACTTTCAGAACTGTATGTTCTGTAACCAGTGGAGATTTTTTACATGCTCAGAATTGATCTGGCTATTTATAATTATCGCCAATATTACAGTAGATTTAGAAAAAATGTGGTGGCTTTGACAATCGTCTAGCATATGTAAGAGTAAAAAGAATACTTATACTGCTCATTTATTTGTAGATTAAATAGAAATATTATTGCCTTGTTAGATGCTAGTGTAGAAGTTGGGATGTACTTGAAGTATATACAGACTAAGATTTAAATACTGAATATAATTAAAGTATGTCAACTGAACAACACTTCTATAGACTTGTGTGCACAATTTGTTTTATGCAGAGAACATGACTTCTTCACAAAATCCCTGAATGATAATAATTATGATCTGATGTGAATGCAGGGACAGACCAATATTGTGAAAGCATAACATCACAACATAAAAAACAATGATTTTCCATATTGGAACTTCTTAAAAATCTCATTTACGAAGCAAAACAACAACAAACTTCAATTAGTGGTGCTGGGATGTGTAGATCAACTATTAGTCCAGTATACACTACTTCTAGACAGAAACAGGTTATTTTTATATTCATTTATTTTTTATGACTAAGACTTTAAAGAGCACCTTTTATACCCTTTTTTTTTTTTTTTTTTAGATCAGAACAGAATGTGTCTGTGAAGTTTCAGCTCAAAACACCCATCAGATTATTTATTATATCATTCAGAATATTAACGTTTTCAGCTCTAAACACCATTGTAGCTGTTTTTGTTGCCTGTGCATTTAATGCTAGTTCTCCCCGCCCACCATTCCCACATGCCTGTCAGAATCTCCGCCTCGGCTGCGTCAGATAAACAGCACAGTGACAGACATGAAGGAAGCAGTTCTCGCAAAACGTTTGTGCGAAATACTACAGTAAGAACTTTCCCAATGATTATTTGATGTATTTGTTGTGGAGTTAGTTCAAGTCTTTCTGCAACAATGAGTTACAAAGTTCACACATGCAGTGCAAACGTTTAACTGCATGGCAAATGTGACAGGATACATGTAAATATCCACTGCTGTTTGGATATTTGTTGTTTATGGACAATAAATCTAATTTAATGTCCACAAACCGGGATTGAAGCATCTTTTTTTATAATTGTACTGACACACAGTACTGAAACTGATAAAGTAATGTTGGTAAAATCAATGTTATTCATTCAATATTGTTTTAAACACGTTTAAAACTTGTAAAACTCATTCTTGATCACATTTGATAATGATTGATGATCACAGCGAGCTCAACAGATTTTTAATCCCAGTTGCTTTACGCAAGTCCTGAGTTATTGATATGATTATATGCGTTACTACCTAATGTGCGTCTGTCAATCAAATCAGTGGACAGGGAAACCGCACCCCTACATCACATTAAGGTCAGTCTCAAAATGGGAGGAATTTGGATCTTGTTTGAACGTCATGAAATAAAAAAAAGAGATTCAATGTATTTACTTTACACCAATATGACTGTGGTCATACTCTACCTACACACAGTTCTGTCTAAACAGCTTACAAAGGATGATTTTCATCATAGGTGCCCTTTAATATGTTAATGTTATTCATTTATTATAATTAACCCAATTCATTTCCAAACCCGTATTTATTTTTAAATGTCATTCATTAGCTGCATTATTATTCATCACTGATTTAACACATAAATGCACAAGTAGATGAATAAGAACATTTTAATAGTTAGCCATTTCAGGTTCACACAGTAAGGGATTATATTATCCCGTCAGGTCAGACAGAGTCGTAATCTTGTCTCATCTCAAAAGAGGAAGATTTATTTTTAGGCTATACATTATTAACAAGACAAAAGCCTTGAGAAACAGTTTTGAAGACCAGTGTTTTGTCGTTTTTTTTAGTGCTCTGCTCCACTAAACGTCTTTTTGAGCAGCCAAGCTCCCACACCCAGAGCCAAAATCAGTTTGGTAGCGAGTGCCAGAGCAAGAAGCAGCACCACAAGAGAGAATGAGCTCCTTGCGCTTAACTTCTCAGGGCTCGGGCACAGAAGGTAGAGTGTGGCTTGATCTTTCCCCAGAGAGTTTGAAGCCGCACAGATGTACTGACCTCCTGGCTGGACGTCCAGCAGTTGACTTGAAGCACGGTATTGTCCTGCAGTGTCTTGAGAAAGTGGGAATGCAGCGTCTCCATCCAGAACTCCATTTGGTGCAATCCATTGAACATCAGGAAGGGGGGAACCCTGAACCTCACACACTGCTTTAAAGCCAGATATTTCGCTCCCCTCAGCTGACAAACTCAGGATTCGTGGTGCAGCTGGAAAATGAGCAACATAAAAATAGAACCAGAAATTGAGAATAGATTAATGAGAATGGCCTAATTATTTTGTCTTGTCAGCAAACAGCATTTGACCTAATAAAATGTATTTGCCATGATACTACTTTAAGTCTATGTGAAATCTAAATTAACAATGTTTATTTTGCTAGTGTTTATTGTTATTCTTTATGTGAACTATTAATCAGTGCAATTTAATTCACAAAAGTGGTTTGTTTTGGTAATCTTCGGTCAAAGTCTGACAATTGCGTCAGCGCATGAAGTGGTGTTTTTTTCTCTGTTGAAATCAGTTTGATGGCTTCTTGATTGTTAACCACAGCCATCTTACACTCAAAAAAAGTACTATTGTTGCTTTTTCAAACTACTTATTCAATAGGAGTTGAATCAACACAAGTCTTAAGGTTTTTTATGACAACCTAATTGTTTTATATTCAATCCACTTAAGTTTGTAAAAATGATTAAGTTAACTTGATCGATTTGTGTTGGGTCAACATGAAGAAATTGTGTGGAACCCAGCATTTTTTACAAACCCAGTTAGTTTGCTACTAGGGAATGATGTGCAAAAGGTAAAACCACGGCCCCTACTTAATATTCCAATCAGTTGGAAGTACATCAACATATTGAAATGCCTCAGTAACTTTCAGTTCACGCTAATTTTAAATAGATAATCACCCAAAATTATAAATATCGTGATCATTTTCTCAATCGTGTCGCCACAAAAAAAAAAAAAAACTTGTGGATTCAAATCACTTAAGGTTGAGCAAATGGTCAGTAAACTTGAATTATTTGTGAATTATCCTAATAACAGTAAAAATGTAGTTTGTAAACAGTCTTGTTGACAACAGATTTGTAATCCATTTTCATTACAAAAATGGGAAGATGTTTTGTATACCTACAGTACAGTCACTGTGATTTAATAATTACAATATGAACCTTTTAGCTTTCTTGGATATTGTTATAATTCATAAAAGAGTTACACGCAAGTTTACTCTGTTATTTTTAGGCCCTGGCTGGCTCCATTTTTCAGTTTATAAGAATTTAAACTGGGACAAACCTGATGAGCTGATTTAAACCTGAAAGGAGAAATGAAAATTCTTTATTTTTAGGGGCCATTTCTATTTCACTGTGATTAGAGGTTATATAGGTTTTAACATGTTGTCTAAAGTGTAAATCTTGCTGGCGAAATTAGTTTTAGTTTTGGTAGCTGACACTGTAAAGGTGCCTTATTAAATGGTGGAAGTGCAACAATATCTGAGTTAAACTAATGTTTTTCATTGGGCGTCATTAACATTGAGTCTACACAATATAGGCTACTTGAAAATGATAAATGAAGGGTTATTTTAAAATCCAGTAAACATACAGAATGGTTAATGTTGATTGTCTATCTATCTATCTATCTATCTATCTATCTATCTATCTATCTATCTATCTATCTATCTATCTATCTATCTATCTATCTATCTATCTATCTATCTATCTATCTATCTATCTATCTATCTATCTATCTATCTATCTATCTATCTATCTATCTATCTATCTATTTATCTATCTATCTGTCTATCTATCTGTGTCTGTCCGTCCGTCCGTCCGTCCGTGTCTATCTATCTTTAATCCTTTAAAGTCAGCATAAACTCACTGTAAAAAATGCAGGGTTCCACACAGTTCCTTCTTGTCCCAAAACAAATCCATTAAGTTAACTTACATTTTTGCATTTAAGAACATAAAACAATCAAGTTATCCCTAAAAAAGCTTCAGAATTGGGTTGTTTCAACTCATTTTAAATAAGTTGTTTAAACAATTCTTGAGATTTCATTGGAACAACTTAATTTTATTATGTTCAATCCAAATAATTTGTTAATAATAATAATTTGTTTGCATTTTCTTTAAAGTGTAGTAGCAAACTAACTGGGTTTGTAAAAAAAAAAAACCCACTGGGTTCCAAACGATTCCTTCATGTAGTCCCAACACAAATCAATCAAGTTAACCTAATCGTTTTTACAAACTTAAGTGGAGTGAAAAATTTAACTGTCCCTAAAAAAGACTTAAACTTGTGTTGGTTCAACTCATAATAAACAAGCAGCGAAAGTAGTTTTTTGAGTGTAAGATGGACGTCGTTGAGAATTTTATGGTTGAAGCTGTCAAACTGACGTCAGCAGAGAAAAACCACCACCGCTGAAGCAAATGTTCACTGGAGTAATAAACACAAATCCAACCAATAGCACAACCATCAATAAGTTATAGTCAAGTTTGAGCCATTAAAAATATATATATTTATTTAATAATATTTTGAAAAATTATGTTTTGAAGAGGCAAACTGAGTAAACAAATCTGTATATAAAAATAACGACTGATAAATTACAGACGTTTACTGTAAAACAACAAACATTTACTGTAAAATAACGGAAGATAAATTACAAAATTCAGTCAATATAAAGTTTCCAGTAAATTTCTGTTATTTACTCTGTGTTATTTTATGTAAATGTCTGTAATTTAAAGGCCTTTTTTTTTACGTTTCACCTCAGCTGCCGGAAAAAAATTGTTCATTTAAAATTTTATTTTTTAATTAACACACATTTTAGGTTAGTCAATTGTAAGTCAATTTTGACTTTTTCATGAGGGAACTATAAAAATATGTCATCCCCTCAGCAGGATAGTCTTCAGTCACTCATATTTGTCTTTGAACAGCCATTTCTAGCTTGGTGTTAGAATTCATATTAACTAAACCCTTTTAATAAAAATAATAATAATAAATTCATCTCTTAGGAAGGGTTGTAATAGAGTGAAGTTATGCCTGTTAAACTTTGTTCCAAGACCAACAAATGTTAATTTGGACAGCAAAACTTCCAGTCGTCAGTAATCCCGCCATCACACAACATGAATTCCATGTGAAACACATGATAAAGCATGAGAATTAATTTTTTTTTACCCTCCACTCGTAGACGGGTTCCTAGTGTGTTCTCGAAGCTTGTA